ACTGACAAGGTATTAATCTCCAATATACACAAATAGCTCATGCAGCTCAATGTCAAAAAAAAAAACCCCAGAAAACAACAACCCAATCAAAAAATGGGCGGAAGACCTATACAGACATTTCTCCAAAGAAGACATACTGATGGCCAACAAACACATGAAAAGATGCTCAACATCACTAATTATGAGAGAAATGCAAATCACAAGTACAGTGAGGTATCACTTCTCATCAGTCAGAATGGCCATCATCAAAAAAATCTACAAATAATAAATGCTGAAGAGGGTGTAGAGAAAAGGGAATCCTGTTACACTGTTGTTGGGAATGTAGATTGGTACAGCCACTATGGAGAACAGTATGGAGGTTCCTTAAAAAACTAAAAACAGAGCTACCATATGACCCAGTGATCCCACTACTGGGCATATACCCAGAGAAAAACATAATTAAGAAAGACACATGTGCCCCAATGTTCATTGCTGCACTATTTACAATAGCCAGGATATGGAAGCAAGTTAAATGTCCATCAACAGAGGACTGGTTAAAGAAGATCTGGTACATATATACAACGGGATATTACTCAACCATAAAAAAGAATGAAATTGGGTCAGTTGTAGAATTGTGGATGGACCTAGAGAGTCATACACAGTGAAGTAAGTCAGAAAGAGAAAAAAAAAAATCGTATATTAACGCATATATGTGGAATCTAGAAAACTGGTATAGATGATCTTATTTACAAAGCAGAAATAGAGACACAGATGTAGAGAACAAACGTATGGATACCAAGGTGGAAAGCGGGGGGGGGGGATGAATTGGGAGATTGGGATTGATTATATACAGTATTGATACTACATATAAAATAGATAACTAATAAGAACCTACTGTATAGCACAGAGAACTCTACTAAATGCTCTGTGGTGACCTAAATGGGAAGGAAATCCAAAAAGAGGAGATATATGTATACATATAGCTGATTCACTTTGCTGTACAGTAGAAACTAATACAACATTGTAAAACAGTTATACTTCAATAAAAATTAAATTAAAAAAAATTCACCAAGCTTACCAGTTGAGGCTAGTACTGTAAACTAAATAAAGCTTAATAGCTCAAGGACAATACAGTAATATAACAGAATAGAATATTTGATGCCCATAATAATGATTCTAAGGCATAAAGAATAGATCAAACTGCATTTATCATAATTTGTATAAAAGATTACAGAAATATGCATTGCAATTTAGAAGGATTTATATTAATAATGTCAATAACATTTGCATAATTGATAAGTATTCCATTTCTGACAATGCTCTTCATGCACCACACATAACTGACCTTTGACTCCTACTGACCCTACCTACTCAATCCCGACTCTACCTTCATACTCTACCTTCATACCTTCTCTGGCTTAGATCACTGTAACAGCTTTCTACCTGTCTTCTTTGCCTCCAGCCTGCGCTTTCAATTCATCCTCTACCCCTCTGCTACAATGAGATAAAATATAAACATAATCATGATACTTTTATGATTTCACTCTTTCAACAACCTCTCAGAGTCCTAAGGATAGGGTTTAATTTCTTCAGATTGACACAAAAGTTATTTTATGAAATGACTCCTATCATCTCTATAGCTTCCTTTCCTGATACCCTTCCACATTTTCCTGTGCCTAAATCACATAAAACTTTTGTCTTTTATTTCATAACATTAAGCTTTTTCACCTATTGTTCTCCTTTATCTCTCAAGTACCCTAACTCCTGGTTATCTAATAAGACTTTACTCTTCCAGGAGTTCTTCCTTATCCTGCAGTATATGAGATGTACTTCTACAGCACCTTGTAGGTGACTCAATCATAGTATTTATTGCATAGCATTGTCATCCTTTATTACTTCACTATTAGTAAATTGAGGGCAAGAATCATGCATTTTATTTTTATCCTCTAGTATATGAAACCCAGTAAATGTTAGTTGAATGAATAAGTGCTGTCCTGTATGACATTTTAAATGGTCAAAGATAACTTCTAAATATACTAAATTCCTTTAATTTTCCTTTAATACATTATGAATATATTATGGATAATATACCCATGGATATTTAAACCTACTGATACCTGGATTTATTTGAATCTGTTTATATTTTTTAGCTTATACCAAACTTCTATATATGCAGGTTTGATTAATATGACTTATTGCTTAAAGTATAATTCCTTCTTATTTATTCTAAGGTACATTTTTCCTGCTTCATGGGGAACTCCAAACTCCATCATTCTCACGAATAGATAATGCAGCTACCCCATACTTCATGTTCACCAAGTAATTCATTCCGTGATTCTCTAGGTAATTTTTTTTTCTGCCTATAGGATATGTAAGGAATCTTTTTTAATTATAGATTTTAGTGATTCTTCCTAAGTGCTTGTCTCTCACCACTTGGTAGTGTTTCCTCTTCTCTTTTTTTGGGCAGTTTTCCCCATTCTGTCCTTTTCTTTCTTATTCTGCCAGTTAGTTATATAGTCTGATCATCTGAACTTTTAAGCCTACATGCTTATATTATTTTAAAACTATCTGAAGGTTCCTTTTGAGTTCTTTACTTCCTAAAATTTATTTCAATTTATTTTCCTCATGAAGTCACGTTAAATCAGATTATTGACATTTCTAATGTTTAGTGATAAAATAGGTTAACCAAAATTATTTTTTTCTTCCAATATGATGTTTAATAATTGGTACTCAATTAGTTATGCTTGCTAATGAATAAATGCTTATTCACTAATTTATCAAAAGATAGTTCTAAAGTTGAAAATTAAAAACAATGTAGGAAATAATTTAATTTTCTTTATGTGTGTATATATTAAAATTACTTGGTCCACAAAGCAGCCTACTAGAAAGTTACCTGAGGATGTAATCCAGCAATCTAATGTTATAAAACAAAACAAAAAAAGGGATGCTATGAGGCAAGAAACTGTGGCTCCAGTTCCTGAGACCAATAAAGGGAAGTCTCAGATGCCCGTTGTGCATTAGGTCTAAAAGGTAACCTGTATCTGTTGTAGCAGTACCTAGTGATGAAAGGAGGAGGACTTGGAGGGAAACAAAGGGGACTCCACTGTATGGACACTGAGTGACAGAATGGAAAACTTAAGAATGTGATAAAAACATACAAGAAAAATACTGGCAATAGAAATTCAAAAAATAATACATAACAAGAAAATTAAAATGTGTGTGATTTTAAGTGATTAATGCAAGTAAACAAAGAGCACTTGGTGCTATGAACATCTTTTGAGTACTATTGGGGAAACAGTACTGACAATGTCAAAGTATAAATTTGTCTCTTTCTGTAGAAAAAAACAGTGTTAGGAGAATATCTCTACTTGTAGGAAAAATATTTTTTTCTAAATTCTATGACCATAATATGAATAGACAGCATAAACTTAGATGAGGTTAAGCATAGATAGATAGGCCAAAAAATCCATAATGATAGACATATTCTGAAATTCAGAAGCGTACAAATAATTTGGTCCCCTTTTAAAAGGTGAAATATAGAAACAAAAGATTAGTGTTTTAAAATAAATTTTTATGTGGCTTTACAAAAACAAAAAGGGTTTGTTTTTTTTTTTACACCGCTGTAGGGTGACAGAAAAATAAAATATAATCAAATTGTATTGGAAAATGTTCTGCCTCTTAGAATTTTAAACCAAAAATTTTCTTCTATATTTTCTACATCAGAATTCTTATGGGTGTTTGATAAGAGAAGACAGGTTGGAACTTTATGAATCAAATTCCACATGTAAAGCCTGCTATTTCATACAGCAAGACAATTATTAGAAAATATACAACTGACAAATATTTATTTATTAATCAATAAAATAAGCTTAATGAAGAGCACTATGTGACAGACAAATACTTCTACATGCGTTCTCAACTATTCATCTCTAATATTACCTTTTTTGCTCTATGTAACAATTCCTTGAAAAATATTGTATTAATTCCAATCATAAATAAGAAACTGAAGCTCAAAGAGATTAAATAACTTGCTCTAACTCATGGAGCTAGGATTTAAACCTAGATCTCTGATTCCAAAGCCCATGACCCTTTCAACATATGATTATTCATTTTTATTGAACTCCTATCATGTGCCTCTTATAAGCTTCAGGAGCTGAAAGGTAGGAGAAAAACAGAAATACACAAATATAAAACAAAAACAAAAACAAGCTTCATTAAATACTTTCAACTACGCCAGGCAATATAGAGTTAGTCTAAAGATAATTCAGCGCCAGAAAAAAATTACAGATAAACAATTTTGTATTCCCCAAATGGGATTTGCAACATATGCCCAATGATGTAGTAATAAATTCTAGGGCTTTTCTACTATTCACCTATTGTAGAACTATGAACAAGGTAGCAAAAACAACAATAAAAATGGCATAACCACTCTGTATTAAAAAAATCTAATAATTCAAACACTCTTGAAAAATGTCAATCAGGGATAGGATGGTTTGCATTTTTACTTTATTTAGTTTCCAGTTTATATTAGAAAGCATCTTTTTTCATGGCAATCATTTATAAAATTTTTTTTATCATATTTCCACAACTATTCATATTTTCCCCATTTTTCTGACTGGATGAATGAGGGTAGCACATATAGAAAAATTATATATAAGTGAATAATGAATTAAAATGAAATATGTTCTATTGGAGCCTAAATGCTAATTGGTAACCTTTTATCATAAAATGTTACAAAAAATGAACAATACTTTTTATAGTCATTTTAAGAAGTGAATATGACACTAATAAGTTCTATGACAAGAAAAGACTGCTACAGTCATGGTCAGTAAACTAGATGATACATCACTATGTTTGTGCTGTGGCAGAAAAACAATAAAATTTAAAAGCCACAAAAATCTTGATCAATTTTATAGATAAAACACTGTCATGACTTAGGTTCATAAAATGCTACAAAGTAGAGAAATGATTAATTTATGACTTTGAGTTTCTATGCTTCTGAATAAAATACAGTTACTTACTTTTTTCTCCGGTTTGACTCCACAAAATATTTACGTGCTTGATTTCGACATATTTTTTGTTGCTGCAGTAAGATTTGGCGCTCTTCTTCTAAATTTTTCTCAAAATGGATTTTCATATCTCTAATGGTAGCATAAAGTTAAGGACAGTGGTTTATGTCTTTACTGGATGAGTATCAGTGCTATCTGATAAGTACAATTACAGCCTCATACTAATGATGTAATGATTTTTTGTGGAACAATTAGTATGTATACACATCACTGTTAGTGTATGACCGGCACATGTTTTATATAAAAAAAACTCTTGGCTTGGTATTAGAACTGAAGATATATTTTACTTTCTTTGGGGAAAAAAATTAATTACTTTTAGACATCATGAGCCCAGATAAGGAGACTACATATCTTTTCATTCATTATACAGATATTTGAGTACTTATTAACAAGTTACTATCTTAGGCATGTACATAGAAAAATGAAAGAAGGTTATATCTCATTAATAGAAAGCCGATGAATTAAACGTTTCAGTAGATCCTTTAATCCATAGCATGAAAGTCATATTCAAATATTAAAAATCAAATAGCAATATAACTGGGAAGTTTGGGAATATAGTTTACTTAGTGATTTACTCATAAGGTAAAAAACAAACCATTAGGAAAACCATACACAGTAATGTTTACTCAGAATTTTGCCAAATATGGAGTATTTTAGTTATCCTAATTATCCATTCATTTGAAATTTACTGTATAAAATTAAACTTTCTTTAAATAAGTTGAATTGATATGGTTAATTGATGTCCGAGCTTATTTAGTTACATTTCAACTGGCATTAATGAATGCCTTTACCAAATTTATCACAGTATTTTTCTGTTTTTAATGATTTTGAAGTTTTAAAAAGTGGTCATTCAATTACCATTTTCAGTACCTCATCATTAGAGGTAGATGCATACAAGATTGTACTGAAATTATTTATTGCAGGGCATGCCTATTTGTCTTTTTAGAATAAACAGTGTGTTTAAATTTTCTCCCCTCAAAATAAAGGTATGAAATTCTCTTTAAGAGTTCTATTTAATCAAGTTTTTTTATATGTCATAAATATTAATGGTAAAACAGAATATAAGAAATACATTAAATAATAAATTATGCTATACATAAGTTGTTAATTCAAAATGTGTTAATTTTAGGATCCTGCAGTGCTTCAGCATCAACATAGTAAAAAAAACCTTATATATTTCAAAACAAGCACGTCTGTTTGAACTTTTTGGTCATTTGAAACTTTGCTAATGGGGGCTTTCAATTATGTTGCTATTTAACCATTTTTATGCCATTGCTCATAATTAATTTACCTGTATTAAAAATTTTGCACTACCTCACCATAAACAAATACATGCACTCACACACAATATTTTTACTTAAAGTTTCTTTTGAAGGATTTATAAAAGTGAAACAGAAAGGGAAGCAACCTGTTTTTGTTTTTGTTTTTTGTTAGCATAGAAACAGCTAAAGATTTAGCTTGTTCTTTTCTAATAGAGTACTTTATTAGAAGGAGTCAGACTTTAACAAGATGGCTAACTACGAAGTCACAACATGGCAGTGGAGGAAAGTGCAACTTCCTTTCAGGGTACCCAAGAGCAACATTGTCGGGAGAAAAGGGAGACGTTGCTTTGGCTCAGGTGAGAAATATGCAGGACTAAGATGCATGTGGAGATAATTCTGTTCTCTGTTTAACATGCTTGAAGTCTCACCACAGGAACATAAAGAAAATCACAAATGTAACGTTTGTAATAATGTTCTGACAACTATATATTGTTAGATTTAATTAAATGTCTCTTACTCTATATAATATACACATGTATTATATATAATATATGTATAATATTGCCTGCCGAGTTGTAAAATATACTGCTGCCTTTGCATCTCTTCAAAGTATGGTATCCAAATTTAAAAAATATTAGATGGTTGGTTAAACTTTTATTTTTCATACAAGCTGTGTTGTAAAGGTAAGATATTTCCATAAGAACCACTGTTAAATACTTGTTCAAAGGAAGGTAATTTTTATATATTTAACAGTAAAATAACCAACCAACAACAAACCCAAGAATACTACGGGCACGTAATACATAATGATTATAATTTAAAAGCATAGCCTAATCTACCCCACCTCATCCTCATCTCTTCTTCTCCCAATTTAGTCTTTTTCTAATTGTAGCTTATTTAGGTTGTTTTAAATATGTTACCATCACTAATAACTATGAATCATATAACCCATACTCTTGTCAAGTTTATTAGAGCCATCCAGATTCTTTTTCTTCTTCTCTGTACCTCTCCACAGACTTGGCTCAGATGTTCTAAATCCCTTGCCTGGACTACTTCAGTAGTCTTCTAACTCATCTTATTACAGTACTCCTAAACTTGCCGTCCTCCATTTGAACCTCCACAAAACCAGCTAAACAGAAATTTAATTGGGTTTCTCATTGTTTGTTATTCTCTAAAATCTCCCTATCACCTTCATGATGCATTAAAAATTTCTTGGAATATACAGCATTTTATAATCTGGTCTGTTTTTTCAACTTCATTTTTCAACATTTCCCTGCATGTCTCCGATGCTCAGCCACACTAAGATACTTATTAACAGAACAAGCCATGATGTAGTATGCCATTATCTTTTGGCACTTGCTGGCTAATTCTACTCATCCTTTCAGGGACACCTCAAGAAGTTCCTCCCCTGTGAAGCTTCTTCTAACCCTCACTGGATGACTTAACACCCTCATGGGTACGTCATATGTGTCTCCTCTGTTTTTCTGTAACTCCAATGCCTGGCATGGTGCTTAGAATATGGTAATGGCTTAATAAAAGCTTACTGAATGACTTCCTTGGAGAAAATTCTCAGTAGATAAACTAGGAAAAAAGGTATACACATTTTTATAGCTTTTAGTGCCTCACAGACAAATTGGTTTCTAAAAGGGTTCTATAAATCTACATGTCATTAGAAATATACGAACATGAGTTTCTACACCTCACAAGCATAAGGTAGTACTTTTTTTATAGAAAGACCGAATGGAAAGTCATGTTTTATTATGTATGTATTAGCAAAATAGAATAACTGCCATGTTGGGCAACTAATTTTTATTTTCCTTTTTGGTGAATCGTTAGTTCAGAGTCACTGGACATTTATCTACTGAGAATGTCATTTAAAAAATCAATTTCAGTAAATTCAATAGAGATAGAATAGTGTAAATATTAACCCTCTATCATAGTTACTACAAGTATTTTCCCCAGATAATTTGTTTTATTTAATTATACAATTTCTCCTTACACTGAAGTTTTAAATTAATGAGTTATTTTTGAGATATTTTTCACTTGAAATTGATTCTTTCTTTTCAAAAGGTAAAGTTACTATACCTTCAAACTATGAAAGTGTTGAAGTTCTATTTTCTGTCAGTTTTCCTTTATGATTTTGTATTTATTTTTATATTTACCCTTTTTATCAGTTCAAGCATATTTTGGAATTTAGTGTAAAATGTGACTCAAGATAGAGATGGTGAATTTAGACTATGCTTTTTTAGAGGTTTGACTAAGGAGACAGGAGATATTAGAACACAGTTAAAAGGGTTTGATTGTTAGTTTTAAGGATAGTTAAGACCAGAGCATGTTTACAGGCTGTAGGGAAAGAAGGCTATTTGACAAAAGTTGTAAGTAAATTGTAAGAGAGAGTTAGGATAATTTACAATCCAGGGTTACTGAGAAGAGAGGTGATGAAAATAGGGCACAAGTGAATGGATTCACCTTCTACAGTAAAAGTGATATCCCATCAGTAAGCCTGGAATAAAAACAGGGTAGGGGATTGAGGGTGGTGATGGGAGTAAGAAGGTTTGTGTTGTTTGTTGGGAGGGACCTGAGGGAGTTCATGGCATCCATTCTCTTATGAAGTATTGTAGTAAGACAGTCTACTGCGAGTGACGGGAGGTGATCAAGATCCGGCACAGAAACTAATTAAGAGGAACAAGAGAGAACCCTGTTCTTGTTCTGGTGAAGCTGGAAACCATCAAGCTGTAGCGGTTTTGTGATTTTTTCTCTGACAGCATTTTTATTGTTGAGTGAAGGAGTAGAGAAATAGGGTTGTAGTAGTTACTGGGTGGTTGAGGAAGAATAGGAGTGCAAAGAACCAAGGATGTTGGTGAGAGAATATGTGTAGATAATTAAGAATAGGGTGTAAACTGGGTAGGGAATAAAGAGAGGCAGTGGGGGCTAGGATAAAATGGAAGGGGAAAAGACTGGAGATATTTATGAGAAAATAAGAGGCATAGTGTGAAGGGGACATGAAAACTTCACTTTTTTATTCTATTTCTATATATATTTGAATTATTTTAAGAAATTGAAATTATAGAACTTCAGCTAATTTTAATTAGATGAACTTCATAAGGTTTTGTTCCTTGCCTTTAGAGTCAGGGAATTCTAACTTGAGTGAGAGAACTTCAACAGAAAGCTGGATGGCCTCTGAGTATTGAATTCATATTTGGAAATCACATGTAGAAATTTTACCAAGCCACTTGCTTATTTTAAGTCTGCAGTTCATTTTTTAAATTCAGTCATTAATTCAATAAATTTGCATACCTACTTTGTACCAGGTATCCAATATGAAACATTACAGATACTAAGAACATCCAAAATAATACAAAAGGTGCTTAAGTGTTTCTCCAACTAGTAACATAATGATATTCTTGATTTAGTGTCATAGTCTTTATTACGTTCAAAAGAATTCCTCTATCCCAATTTAAATATATATACTAATTTTATATATACTAGCAAATATATATATATATAAACTAGCAAAAAGTATATATACTTATATATACATACAGATGCATATATATACACACATACTAGCAAAAGTTGTTGGATTTTAGCAAAGCCCTGGGCATCTATTGAAATAATCATCTACAACTTTCTTAATTTTAACTATATATTTATAATTCAAGTATATTTTTAGTAATGCATTTCTTTATAGGAAACCAACATAATTCTGGAATTATGTCTATTTGGTTTTGTTCATTTGAGGTACTGCTGAATTTATTTACAAATATTTCCTTTGTTGTATCAATATTCATACCTCATAAATTTAAAAATATTAAGTTTATGACCATTTCACTAATGAAAATGATGGAAAGATACACTTTGTCAATGAGCCACTTACAGTGCTTCCCTATTTTCTGATTTAGCTATAAATCAGGGTCGGTGTAATAGGAGTTCGGGGTCCAAGAAAATACAATGTCAAGGGGACAGAATCAAATCCATACAGAAAGCAATACAGTTTATTTCAGATTACTTCTTGAGCGAGGACAGTTTTGAGGAGTAGTAAGGGCAAAAGCCAAAGTGAATGGAGTTAATAATGAATAGATGAAAAGAATTAGAAGCTGCTATTGCGGTTAGGGTTTCTGAGAAGTTGACTAAAGAAAGAAAAGACAGAAGGGTTAAAAGCTTGAGGAAAGCATGATCAGAGGGGGGGATATTTTACCATCAGTTAAGCTTTGTACATATCTGTCTTCCTCACTAGAGTTGTATCCCAAGCACCTAGTTAAAGAGCAGGCAGTAAATGAAAATTGATTGACTTGCTTTTAAAAGTGCAACATCCCAGAAGTGGAAGACAATAAGGATAAGAAAATGGGGTTTAAATTGAAAAGTGAAGACACTCCATTCTCTGACAAGAATGAAGATGATTATACAGCACCATCACTACCAACCAAGTCCTTTGAGAATACAAAGGTTACACTCTAATTATCATAACATTCTCTGAAGGAATAAACATGGTTTACATATTTTGAAAACAAAACTTTTTCACTCTTTCAATTTTCTACAATGCAACCAACAGCAATCTCAAAGCTGGGCTAGACCAATTCTTAGGGACAAGTCAGAGATAATCCAGTGTGAAGCCTCCGAGTCCTTCGCTTCTAATTTTCTGTCTGTTGTCTCTCTGACAACAGCCTGGGCAGAGGATGGAAAACAAAACAAATTAACCAACTGTGTTAGGCTTTAGCAGCTCTGGTAAATAAATTAGGGAAGTGCTAGGTTAACTGTTAAAACGGACTGTTTCAGGAGAGCAAAACATTTTACCTGTTTGTGGAATTCTTTTCTCCAAGCAGCATGATTAATCAGGGTGTGGATAATATGAAGTAAAGAGCATAATGGCATAACTCTAGAAGACAAAACAATCCCCACAGAACACACGGTTGATCTATTTGAAAACTCACAAAAAATTTACACCAAAGTTGAATGGGGGTGAGATAACAAGGTGGACGGGAAAGCGGTCCTAGAATAGGATAAAATGGTATTTCAGGTTTAAGGGGAGCAACGACAGTTACTGAATCAAATATCCGCACTAAGATGACTAGCTAGTTTCTATCACCTTGCATCTGTGATAATGGGAATCTAATGGGAAAAAAGATGGGCCCCGCTTCCAACATCGCTACGCCGGCAGCCACGGCTGGAAGGATACAGGTAAGCGCCAGGTCGGTGACGCCCGTCGCTCAACCGAGGGCTGAGGGGGGCTCTGACGCGGGTGTCCGAGGATTCAGTGCCCTGTCTCGAGACCGCGCTCCGGGCTCCGGGCCTCCCGGTCATCATCCTTCATTCACCTCAGCGTCGCCTCTCGGCTCGTCCCCACAGCCTCCCTCATGGCAGCTCCGGCTTCCTCCTCCTCCGCCCCTCCCTGCACTCCGTCTCTCAGGCCCCGCGTCACTGCGGCGGAAAGGTTGGCCGCGGCAGCTCTGGTTCCCGCACAGTGGCGCTCTTGGCTGTGGTGGCGACGGCAGCTGCAGCAGCGGCGACCTTGCCTGGCAATGGCAGAGGTGGCGGCCGCGACCCCAACGCCTCCGCCATGTTGACAGCCAACCGATACCGCGTCCTTCGCGACGGCTACCAGGGTGTGGGGGCGGGGCGCCAGAGGCAGCCAATAGGAGGAGCGGACTACCGCCTACTCCCCCCACCCCTCTGAGCTGACTGCTGGCGGCGGCCTGGAAGCCTAGCATCCTCAGGGACGCAAGTCTTCGCAGGAATGCGAAGCTGACTTGTTCCTCGGAGCCTGACTCCGTTCTACCTCCCTTTTTATGATGATGTTTTCGTGAGGGTATTGAGAGTGATGAAAGACAGTGAGACGCAGAATCTTCAGATACAGGCAAACGCCACCGTGGGGATTCTGAAATGATTGCCTCGGGGATAATTCAGGGTAGGATTTTTGGTTTAACTACCGAGTCCTGCTGTGGGGTTTGAGTTGTGTCTTTCTGGAGCATCAGTATCCCCAAACACCATCTCTTTTAAAAGGCTTTGTGGAGTGGAAATTTCCTTTCTCTACATTCTCTCACCCACTCCCTGACGCTTCTGCCATTCCGTCTGCAAGTCGTCCTCCTTGCCATTTCCCTACTAATAACGTCGCATTTCAAAGGCTTTTAATGGTGCCAGCCTTGCTGCCAGATTCTGGAAATAGATCATCGGCGGCCAGGAAAGTAGTGCAGATTTAATTCAGTAATCTCCTGGGAAGATATGCCAAAAGAGATCATCATATTGAAATTGTTTCAAGCTCTTATGGAAAATTGGATATTTTAGCCACCAGGTTCAGTGGTTTTGCAAGTAAAAATTTGAAAAAAGGCTGTAACTCGTTGTTGGAGTTCATTTTAAAAGTACATATAAATTCTGACTGTATTTCAGCCAGGTTTTTTTTCTTTCTTTCTTTCTTTCTTTTTGTGTGGAAAAAACTCCCAGATTGGAAGCAGAATGTACAAACAGAATAAAAATCACTCGCCCACCATTCAAATGCCTCTGTCTTTGTGAATCAATTTGTTCATTTTTAGAGTTCAAATAATAAACTTTTCCAGTTGAAGCTATTTAAAACAGAGTTTTTGCAAAGTTGGATACAATGACTCAAATTGGAATGTGTTCTGGTGACTGAGATTCAAAAGTGCCACAACAAATCCAGTTTTGAGTTAAAACACAAAACACATAAGCCCCCTTCAGGACCATGCCAAGAGGGTAGAATAGATGATCTTGACAAAGAAAGGCTAAATGTGTATACTGGGATGATTAGCTATTTTTGCAAATTTTTAACTGGCCTAGTCACAGGAATTTAAGTTGATTCTATTCCCACTGCTATCATCACAAGTCTGTTTCTCCAGGGCCAATTTGAGAGAGAGTAAGCAAAGTAGGGCAGTGTAAAGTGCAAATGAAAATGAGAAGGTTGTGCTTACTGTTTGAAGTATTTGGGCATGGTTAGCCTTCCCGAAAGTCTAGTTTTTTCTATATTATTAGTTTGATATCTCATCACTCATAGGCACCTTGTTGCTTTGTCACATGGTGTATTAGCATTAAGAAGCATAACTTGGTTCCTTAGTGGCTTACAGATGTTTACTCTTATAATCATTCTTCATTCAAATGTTGCTTTACAATGATACCCAAGAAAAAAGAAAATTTAAACACAATGTTACCAACTTTTTTAAAAATTACAGATCTATTTTTTCACCTTTAAATTATTTATTTCTTTCTTCAAAATTTTAAGCAGGTTTTTCATGTTTTATTTAAGTTGTACAGTCCTTTATTAAGTTGTATTGATTCTAATAAAAGGCTTTAAGATTAGATATTTGGATAATAGAAAGATAATTTGAGACATTTATAAGTTTTTTCTCTTGGCAGGAAAGATAAGTATGATTTAAGCAATAAAAAAGAGTATTACATTAAAGTCTCTCTATTTTGTAAAAAGAGACATATGAATTAAATATAATGGTTAACTTTTCACACTTCAAAAACCATAAAATAATTCATTCTTTTATGAAGGAAATAAATATTGAGCACCTACTATGTGCCAAGCACTTTCTAGGTGCTGGGATACAGTAGTGAGCAAAACTTCAAAGTCCCTATGCTCATTAAGCTTACATTTATTTTTCTTTCCTACTAGTTCTAATATAGATTTTAAAGGTCATCAATATTGCCAGCAATGTTAGAACTGTATTTTAGAGCAAGTCAAATAATAATGATGATAATAATAAAAAAAATAATAATTATACCACCTAACACTTGAGTACTTGTCGCGTCTCTTGCACTGTGCTAAGTGCTTACATATATTAAATAACTGAATCCACACAACAATCCTCATTCTACAAAGAAAGTAAGCTATAGTGATATTAGGTAATTTTGCCCAAGTTTCCAGAGCAAGGGAGTGGTGAGTCAAGATTCACCCAGGCATTCTGGTACCAGAGCCAGCACTCCCAACCCCCCCTCCAAGCTGCCTCACTGGAGAAACTGAGAAATTTTCAGTAGAATAAGAGATAAGAGTGTTTGCATTTAAATAGTGTGTGAGGATGTAAAGTCAGAAAATAGATAATTTGTTTAAGATATTACTTCATTAATTGATATCCTAGTGCCTATACCATGCCAATCACTATGCAAGTACCATAAAAACTATGATCTCTGCCCTGTTGTTCTTGGGCTAGGAAAGGAAATGGATAAAATAATACCTTGAATAGGAAGCAAGACTCAGGAAAATCTTAATTTTAGGATAGTGAAGACTTAGGCATGCTTAAGTGGTGAAAAACAGGAGCCACTATCATGGAGAATTTGAAAATTCATCACAGACATTGATCTATCAACTTTCAGAGAGTGGTAATTTTCAATAACAATAGTCCCCTTATAGTCACAATTTTTGAAGTTTTGACACTATTGATGTAAAACATATAAATCAATTAGAGTCCTAGAAATTTGGCATTATGTGGTTAATGTGACCATCACTGATAGCTAAATTCAGTTGCAAACATATTTTAAGTCTGAATTATCTGCTCTGGGTGTCCACACTGATTAAATTTCTACTTAGTATTTTGTAGAAATAGTTCCAATGTAATATTCTTCTCTCTACATCACTCATTTCTACTTTCTTACTATTTTTATGCAAACTGGTTCACAATTATAGAGTTATACCTTATCAAAGGCATTTTTTCCTAAGGGCAAAAAAAAAAAAATCTGACATAAAAACTAGATGATGCTATAAATTCTTGCTTGCTTACTTGATTTAGCTACCTAGCTGGCTGGCTACTGCCTGTATTCCAAAAGTGTGGATTTACAAGGCAGGCATGTAGTGATAAAAAAGGTTTGTATAACTTAAAATGACTGGATCTCTAGAGGCTACCTTGTTTCTCATATGAAGGGTGTTTCAAATGAGGGCATGGAAACTAGTAAGTACTGGCTTCTGTTTTTGTTGTACACCTTCCAGAAATTTTTGACTGAAGACTCTGTGTACTAGAGTTCTTTCCACACAGAGCTGACTGATATTTGAAGAAAATTTTCATTTCTCCAACCAAGAAAAATATGATTTATCTTTTCCAAGCTTCACTCTTATTTTTAAATCTATGTATTTTTACTTGTGGAGAAGTTATACAATGTAACTGTGTTCATCATTCTACGGTAAGAATTTCAGCAATATTATTTCAGCTAGGAAAGCATGATTATATAGTTTTCAAGATATATATTAGATGTTTGAAAAGATTAATTACAGTACTCAATATAATTTATGGGAAAATTAAAGTGTTTATTTAGAAATGCTGAGACTTATGCTTAAATAATATGGCTTTTAAACTTAGGAAACCATAAACTGAAGATTGACTCTTAATACATTTCTTGTGAAAAATTGTTAAAGAAATTGCAGGCCTTGGTTAAAAACTAGCCAACAACTTTCCAGTTAACTTTAATAATGAAATATCTGGTAGGTAGTAAAAAATTCACTTTGCTTAAAAAAAACTATTCTAGAAACTTTCATACTTCAAATATAGTCTTGTGACTGGTTACCTAGGAAATGTTAAAATTTAGAATTAGAAAATTTTATTCAAAACAATGTCAGAGTGATTGACAGCTAAGATAGTGTATGCAATACTATGAGTAGATTGTGATTTGAATCTCTATACATTTAAATGTTGGCTTATAATTTTTAAATGTTATAAAATGTATTTACCACTGTATCAATACTAAATTCCAAAGTTGAAGCAAGAATAAATTCTAAAAAAGCTACAGAAATATTAATAACAATTCTCTATACTAAAAATTTAAGAATCTTATTTAGATCTAAAAAATATAGTTGTAACCTAAGTTTTTGAAAACATCTACTATGTCAATTATTATAGGAGTTTAGGGGAAAGAGCAAAAAGTTAAAAGTAGATCTATGTAACAAAATGTAAGCATCTTTTTGGGCAAATATCTTTTATATTGTGATTAGCTCTTTACCTTTCTCTCAATATCCAGGTCAAAGAGGACAAAGCTTGCTATTATTTTCTTTAAATTACAGAGTTATTCTAAATCACATAACTTATACCAAAGGCTGTTTCAACATTAAAAAAAACAGTAGTGTGCCAACAAGAATAGATACCTTTGGAATGACATCTGTAATTGGCTTTCTTTCTTTTTTCTTTTTGAATAGTAGTTAGTACTTTTTAATCTCCTACCCCATCTTGCACCTTTCTCCTTCCTTCTCCCCACTAGCAATCACAGGTTTGTAGTTGGTTGTTGGCTTTTTATTTTAAGTTAAATTTAATTTTTTAAAAATTTATTTTATTGAAGTGTAGTTGATTTACAATGTTGTGTTAATTTCTGCTGTATAGCAAAGTTATTCAGTTATACATATGTAACTGAATATATATATATATATATCTTTTTTCATATTCTTTTCCATTATGGTTTATTACAGGATATTGAATATAGTTCCCTGTGCTACACAGTAGGACCTTGTTGTTTATCCATTCTATATATAAGGTTGCTGGCTTTTTAAAATGATATCTGTTGTTGATTTTGCAAAGCAAAATTCCGTGCTTTTTTTCTGTTATCACTGCTACCTTTTTAAAAAAATTTTTTTAACTTTTT